GAGTTGGGAAGACACGATTATTAGATTTGCAAACACTTAAAATAACCATAACACTGAAAAGTTAATCTAATCCAAATGTCTATAAGCTTTAACGCAGGGAAAGACAAAGTATGTCCACATCAATAAAATGCATTTATTTATTTTTATTTCCATCAATTAATGCAGATAAAGAAAATTAAATTTGTAAACTTCATTTTTACTTATTTTTTCTCCAAATATTCATCATTCAAAAAGTGTGTTTCTAAAAATATAAGATTACGTCAAATTTATAAACAAATATTTTTTATTCCAAAAAAGGAGTGTCTCTTTAAAGAAATAATATATAATTGAAATTTTTGTTAAATAAAGAAAATCTTAATTATTTGTTTAAGATTATCTAACCGGGGTAATAATGGATTCAGTTGGTAATCTTAATTATTTACTTAGGATTACCATCTGGGAAAAAATAAGCGATTTTGACGAATTTTTTATTATTATTATTATTATTATTTGAATTTTTGCTTTTTCTAAATGTTTGCTGTTAGAATTTTCAGAAATGAAGTTATCGTTTGTTTGTTTTTTTCGCATACTGAAAGATCTTTTTTTTTTTTTTTTTTTTTTTTTTTTTTTTTTTTTTTTTTTTTTTTTTNTTTTTTTTTTTTGTAATTGCATATTTAAGATAAACGTTGATTTTGAGCAACTCTCTTCACGCTAACACACGTTATAAAAAACTTTTAAATAGAATTCTGTTAAACTTTATGTTCAGATTTTGTATAAAGTTAGCAATGTTTTAAAGTGAAAACTATGGTCGAAGGGAGAATTTGTTGTTTTTACCATTCTTTAAGTGAGAATATTTAGATCATCAATATTAAAGGATTTATCGATCTATTTCATTATATATTTGAAATTTTTTAAACAATTTAGTACAAAACACAGATAATCATATTATTGACTTGAAAAAAAATATTTTGATATCTATGCTTTACCATTTGTTGTTGATCTGTAAGCGAGACATAAATTTGTAGTTTTATGCTCAAATTTGCCCTTATTGTGAAAAACTACTTTATAAATTTTTAAAATTATCTTACGATTTATAACTTTAGGACCTCTGCTTACCAAAAATAAAATTAGAATTTTGATTAAGGATATTTAAAAAATATTGTGTCAAACCCAGTTGGATACCTTAAAATAAAAAAGTTTAATGACTGCAGTATTTTTCATAAAATGCAATTTTCGTATAATTTTACACCTCGTAAGAAATGGAAAGAAATTATGTTAGATTTTTGTTTAGAAATAAAGTCTATGTATGATATAGTCGAATCGTTAAAACTGAAACTTCCGCTTCAGGAATTAATTTGTATTGAAGAAATTTCAGTCATCAATCAGAAACTTGCAATTCACAGCTTCTAAATATTAATTTCATTTTAAACAAGTAATAAGTAAAACCTAATAACAACACAGTTAAGCTACTTCACTGATTCTTTTGACTTCAATGAATTACTATAGAACTATTTTATTACTTATTTTAATGTTGATGAATAATACTAAGATCATCATATCGTAATTCATTTCAGTGTTAATTACCCGTGCTATAACTATTTCATTTTTCCCTGCAAGATAAATAAATTACTGGAAATCTTTTATGTGCTCCTTTTGATATTGAAAATTCATTTCAAAACCACTTCATTTTTCATTCCAATTATCACAAAGCGAATTTTAAACTACTTGTTTACTCATTTTAACAATGATGAATCATAACAAAATTATTTTATATGTTCATTACGATATTGATGAATCATAATAATACTTCTTTTTGTTGTATTTGTCGCAGACGAGGTGATTAATGTTTTAACAACCTTAAAACGACTTCATTTTTTATTTCAATTGTCACAAAACGAATTTTGAACTACTTGTTTATTCATTTTATCATTGATGAATCATAACAAAATTGTTTCTTATGTTCATTACGATATTGATGAATCATAATAAAACTTCTTAAAACCAGAAGTGCAAGTTAAATTCTAAGAAATAGGATATTTATATAACTAATTCAAAATTTTCTCGCCTACATTCTCTTTTTATAAAGCACATCGAACTCTTTTTTTTTTTTTTTCACTATCTCTCAGCCGCTCTTTATATAATACCCTCAGCAATTAACAATATACAAGAGTTATTAATATCATTAGCCCAAAGGGGAGGAAAAACCTTGAAAATAAAAACATTCTTCGGAGTTCTATAAAGAAACAGGTTGACCTTCGATCGAACCGCCTATCAAGCGTAAAAAAAAAAACCGCAATGCTTTTCTTCTATTATTCTGACCAATAATGTTAAGTGAGGCTGAAGACAGCTGAAAGTTGCGCGTAAAATTTATTTACAACTTTAATTCTGAAGCATTTTCTGAAAGAGCGGAATCGATATAAAAACAAATTACGTAAGCGAAATCGTTTCCGAATTGTCTTGAGTTAAGGTAACTTACATAATTATAATATTATAATATTGATTTTAAAATGTATCTTTTGGAAACTATTTATATAATGAGTTGCTTGCGAAATGTTTAATTAAATAAAAAGATCTTCCATAGTTTAACACACTATATGTGCAATCACTTTATTTTAGAAAAAGTATCAATTACGAAAATAAATATAGCTGACTTGAAGTTCTAACTAGCGCATTAATGACCATAAAAATTTGATGTCGTAAAACTCAAAAATAGCATCATCTTTATGTAAGTATTTTACTTCATAAATGTACTACACTGTAAAAAATTCTGTATCAAATTACGGTTTAAACTACAAACACTAAGGACCTTTATCGCATAGTAATCCATTTTACCGGAACATGTTACGGAACAAAAAATCTGACATATCGTAATTTTTACAGTAATAATTACCCTAAAATCGTTGAATATCTCTTACAAAATAAATATTACTGTAAAAACTACGGTATGATATTTCACTGTAAAAAAGTCTTTTACGGATGATGCACCCAAATTGCAGGTACCGTAATTTAATTCGAAAATTTTTGCAGTCCACTAGACATTTATTACTTTGTGCCCCAATGGTCCATTGGGTTGTCTTTGAAATGGGCTTGTATTCGATCTTCAGTAGCAGTATAAAGAATTTAACCATGTTTGGTTGTATAATAAACAGAGCGCAAAAAAAAATGGACAACCCTGAATAACTTTTGATATTTTGTTCGAATGATCAGATCTTTACGTTCTAGGACTCCATCTTAATTGCTCGAGGGGGTGACCTCAAATATACTAATGTAACTTAAATTCAAATAAAAATTTAAATACCTGACTTTTTGGAAATTCAATTTCTCAGAAATTATTCAACCGATTTTGCTCACATTTTGTATTATGTCATGTAAAATTATGTTCTTTAAAATAATGCAAAAAAATTTTTACCTTATAATTTAAATTTTTTCGACTATTGTTAAATAAAATGATAAAAAAAATAATAAATATTTACTAAAAGTTACTTTTTGCATGGAATTTATCCTTGGATAAACGAATTTTATAATTGAGTGTAAAAAATTTTCAATTCGTTTAAAAAGTTCTAGAGATGTTGCGAAATCCGTTAAAATTAAAGTTAACATTAAGGGCTCCAAATTTTGGAGCGTTTACCTGACCAAACTATTGGGACCAAATTTCCCAGATTGCGACAACCCCCCATGCATAGTGGGGGTCATAAATCGGAATCCATCGGGAAAAAAGATATGTTTATTCAAAGAAAGCACGTTTTTGAGTCTGATCTCGTGACTTAAAATATCGGCTGCACTTATTAATTAGCATATTTAAGGTCATTTCTTTAAGCCATTAAGATTGAGTCCAAGAATGTGCAAATCCAATCATTAGATCAAAAGTTATTCAGGGTAATCCTTTTTTTTTTTCCTTCTTTTTTTGCGCAGTGTACAACCAATTGATGAACTAAAGAAGTAGTTTACACCAGACACAACAAGAATATTATTGACAGAGAAAAAAATTAACCAATGATAAGAAATTAATTAATTATATGCACAGTACGATGCATTTCATTTAAATACTTGAGAGTTAGTACACGAAACTAGTGGTACAAACAAAAACAACTTCTTTCACTTTACTTAATACGAAAATATTATATTTCTGCAAAATTTATGTAAAATTGTACCAACAGTGTTGATTAATTTCGATTTTTAAAATTTCGATTTGTTGCATATAGCATATTTCTGAAATGGCACTAAATTTGGAAAACAAATAAATTTTTTAATAATGTAATTGTTTTAAGTTTATTTATTTATTATTTATGTATTTGATTTTTTTTATTTACTTATTTTTTATTTATTTTTTTTCTTTGAAGGTGGCAATTGTGGCCCTATCTTTTTTTCAGGTTTTTTGCTACTCTTTTTGTCCTTCTTATCGATTTACATTATTCATCAGTTTTTTACAAAATTCTAGTTTTGCTGTTGGCAGTTTCATTTCAAGTCAAGAAATACTAACGTATTTTATTCACTTGCACAAATTTCAGCGGAATGAAATGAAATAAAATAAGAATGTACACTTCATTTATAGAAATTCATTTCAATAAAAATATCCCAAGTTCTCAACTAATAGTGTGGCTTTAAGCCTCGCAAGAAAAAGAAAAAAACGTTCTAATTATTGATTTTCTTTACGGGATTCATTGGGGTGGGCCTTGGTTCATCAAGCGCACTAACATGGACATCAAACTTTATCAAATATCATCAAAATTATGATATTCCATTCCTCTGCTATTCTAATATTTAAGCATGAGTTTAGTAAAAAATCTTTAAAAAGTACACTTAGATTGGTAATGAATGTTCCTTATAGAAAAACAAAGTTCAAATAGCAATAATAATACCACGTGCTTCTTTATTTAATTATACGCAATTTATTTATTCATACACATTTCCCTTATCCAATGTTTCCCTTTTATGAAACATCAACCCTTGTCAGAAGACCTTGACGAGTTTATACGTCACAAGAGACGTTCTTTCCTTCCGATCAACTTCTCAGAATCATTTTTACCTGATTGAGTTGGGTCTTCCCGCCACGGCATAACAGTTAACGCAGTTTTACTGAAGTTGAACAGATTATCTTGTAACCTTTCAAGCTGTATGATGTTCACTTTCTGTAACCGGTAGTACTCTCTGCTGAAGTCTCTTTGTCATTTGTCTGCGGAATATAGATTATCATTTAGTTAGTACTCTATGGTCTCATCTTTTCTCGGTGGATTTTATTTATCCTCAGTTGGCTTGAGATTTTAATTACAGAACAAGGTACGATGTTATTATGATTCTTATGTTTGTATTATTTCGTTATGAAATTATTTCTAAATACAATTATATTTGACTCTTGTAGTCCTTGCTTTAATTAATTGCTGATTTTTGCTGCATTTTTTTAATGCTTTTTCTTGTTTATTTTGTCACTTCTCTTTGCTTTGTTCTTTTTTTTTTGTACTCCAGTCTCTATTTTGGTTTTGTTATTTTAGTTTTATTTTTAATTAGTAGTGTTCTGTGACATCTTTCTTTACTTTGATCTTTTTTCACCTTTAATATTTTTATTTTATTTATTTTTGTTTTTGTTTTATTTTATTAATTATTTTCATTATTTTTTTTATTTTTTATTTTTAGTTTCTTTAGATTGTTACGCGTTTTTGACTTAAGTTTTCATGTTTATTTTCTTCCATTTATTAAGCTCTTCATAAGTATACGCTGTAGACATAATTTTTATCAAGCATCATAGCTACTAGTTATGCCTGTTATCAATTATTAAATAGTTGTTAGTTCGAGCTAGCCACGTAGTTGTTTCTTTTTAGTCATTGTTCGTCTTGCTAGTTATAGTTGTTTCTTAGGAATATTTTTAGTTATAGTTTCCCTGTAACTGAAAGTATTCTTTGAAGTCTCTTAAACATTTGTCTGCGGAATATTGATTATCATTAGTTTGTACTCTATGCTCTCATCTGTTCTCGATGGTTTTTATTTATTGTCAGCTTGTTTAGGATTTTAATTAAAGAACGATGTGTAATTCTATTTTAATACTTATATTTGTGTCAGTACGTTAAGAAATTATTTCTAAAAACAATTATATTTGACTTTTGTAGTCCTTGCTTTAATTATTTGCTGCATTTTTGAATAGTTTTTTTTTCTTTTTTTGTCACTTTGCTTTGTACTTTTTTTTGTACACTAGTCTTTATTTTGCTTTTATTATTCATTTCTTATTAGTATGTGACATATTTCTTTGTTTTTTTTTTCTTTCTTTTTCATCCTTAATATTTTTATTTTATCCATCTATTTTTATTTTATTTTTATTTATTTATTTATTTATTTATTTACTTATTTATTTATTTACTGATTTATTTTAGCGTTTTTTAGATTGTTATAAGTTTTTGCCTTATACTTTCATGATTACTTTTTCCATTTATTAAGCATATCATAAATATATACTGCAGACATGGTTTCTTTTAAGCATCAAGCAATTATTAAATATTTAATAGTTAGGACTGGGTCCTATAGTTGCTTGTTGTTTAGTTATAGCTTCATGGCTTTTAGTCCGATTCTATTCATCCTCAATAAACACGTCGATATATTTGTCCCGTTTCGAACTGTTGAGGAACGGAACACAAACCAATAAATAGGCCTCTAAACCACCAAAACCACCAAATAGAAAGTAATAATATTGAAGTTAAGCATCCTTGCAACAGATGGTGGCAATAGTCAGCACTGTGACCCCAACCGACTCTACTTCCCAGACATACTCATTGAGTTGAACATTTCCCGTCATTTGGTTGGGTTTCTAGCCCCCACCGGAAATCGAATCCCAGTACTTCACAATGATAATTCAGTAGCTTAATCACTGAACCATTGCATCAATAATCATTAAACTTAAATTATTCTTTGGCTAAAAAAAACAAATTAGACAAACAAACACTTACACATTACCGAAGATCTTGCAAAGTTGCTTCCGTTGGTCAAAGTCTCAGTATCATAGATATCAAGCAAAATTCAGATCAGAAAACTTCCCACTATTAGCCCGACGACAAGGGGACCCCTATCCATGAACTGATTAATATTGGGGATATTTTACATTCGCATTTTTATCAATGGTAGCCGAAAGCTCCGAATGGATGGGGTTCGAACTCGCGTCGCCTCATTGGGAGGCGAGCGCTCTATCCCCTGATCCATCACCGCTGGTAGTCGGGAAAAGAATACGAATTTCAATTTCCCTTCTCAGATCTTCCCAGGCATGCGCTATAAGAGTGATATCTGGAGATCTGAATGGCAAATACACCGGAAACGCATTTTCATGTTTTTTACAGTTGTTTAACCAGATCTGTTGCATATGGCTGCCTGTTGTCGTCGATTGAAAGTTAATCAGGACAAACTGCGGATAAAAGGATAAAAATAGGACTTCAAAAGATAATTCTAATTTTGGATTTCTAATTTTGGATTCTAATTTTGGAACTATTTATCATAGTAAATTTCGGAAAGGTGAATATTTTCAAAAATAAATGCTAAATAAGCCAATAGATTTATTCAGTAAAATTATATTAAACGGTGACCAATAATTTGTTATTTTTAATCCCTGCGCATTATTAAAGGTTTAAACTAAACTCAGTGGCGCGACAGCCCATAGAGGGCCAAGGCCTACTGTGCCCATCTCAGTTTTCTTGACCTTGGGCTCTGGGGTGCAGGAGCAGATGTTCCGGTCAGGTAGTCAGCCGAACGCGGAACCCCCAGTGTTTAGTTCCCAAGCATGCTTGGTACTCATTTATCGACCCACTGAAGGGATGAAAGGCTGAGTGAACCTTGCCCGGCCCGAGGATCGAACCAGGGACCTGTGGCACGACAGCGCGAAGCGCTACCGCTCAGCCACCGGGCGTCTATTAAAGGTTTATTATACTTTTAAATTTTCTTTTAAAAAAATTTTTATGTTTTCCCATTGTTGAAAATCTATGAAAATAAAAATACTGATTCAACAATACCTCTTATATCAAATATGAAATTTGAAAATTCCATGAAAATAAATGAAATAATTCTTAAAAATATTAGATTAGATTAGAAAAATACAAAATATGATTAAAAAAAGCATGGAAGAAAAATAATTCATAAAAAAAAAAAAACGGACTATAATTATTTTATTTCAATTGCATCTTTTTACCAAGATGAATATGTTAGCAATTTATATTTTGTTTAAAATTTTAATTAAGTTAATGAACTTAACAATTATTACTTAGATAAATAAAGCCTGTTTTTAAACTTCATTTAGATAATATTCATAAACATTGATTTATTTTGACCAATTAAGGTTTTGAGCAGTTTTTTTTAATATATATCAACCTCTCCCCTCCCTTTTCTTGTAGATTTTTAATAATCCTTTCACTATCCTGAAAAAAAAGTCATGTCTTCCGATAGATAACTAACCCTAATATTTTGCAGTGCTATTTTAGTGACGTATTAAAATTATTTGCTTAGACGCACGCTTAATGCAAAAATAAGCAATAACGAACCGTTTAAAATGATCTATTTGAAGGTTACATTGAGTTTAAAGTTTATGCACAGAACATCCAATAAAAACTTTTATATGCAATTATTCAGATTGCGTATTTGATATGGACGAATTTAAAAGAATTATTTCTTAACCGAAAAACACAATATGAACGAATGAGAAATGAAACGTTTATAAATAAAAATAATTCGTGTTTTACATCACAAGGCCGTGTTAATCTTAAATGTTAATACTAATTCAGCAAATTTTCAGACTGACGAAAAAATTATGAATTAATTAGTATTTCATAAATTTTGAATTTTTAGAAACTAAATATTTTTTCTAACTCCAAGTCTGTTTAAATAATTTTATTTTCGTAATAATATGGCAAATATAGTAAGCTTTATCTAAATATGTAATTATTATTCAAACAAATAATCCTTTATGTGCGTATATAACCAGAAAAATTTAAAATCCGGCTTTGTGTACAATGCTTAAAATTGACCAGCAAAGTATAACCTTTCACACGTTGCCTATGAAATATAAATGTCGAATTTTAAAAAGTCATTTATTTAAAATTCAATTTCTCAGAAACTATTCAACCGATTTTGCTCAAATTTTGTGTTTAGCCATGTAAAGTTACATGCTTTAATATCTCACAATTTATAAAAATTTCGACTATCATTAAAAAAAATAATAATAATAATAAATATTTATTAAAAATTTTATTTTGCATGGAATTATTTTTTGGATAAACGAATTTTATAATTGTGTGCAGAAATTTTTCAATTCCCTTAATAAGTTTCCGAGATTTGGCGAAGTACGTAAGAATAAAAGTGACATTAAAGAATCCAAACTTTGGATGGATTTCCTGACTTAACTATGGGGACTCTATTTCCCAGATTGCGGCTACTCCCAATATTTTGAGTGTCAAAAATCCGATTCTGTCAACAACAAAAAAAGGCATGTTTATTAAGAGAAAGTACGTTTTTGTGTTTGATTTAATAACTTAAAATATCGTCTGAACCAATTAATTAGCATATTTGAGGTTACCCCATCAAACCATAAAGATGGAGTCCTAGAACTTGAAGATCCCATTAAGATCAAAAGTTATTCAGTGTTGTCCGTTTTTTTATTTTTCGCACTGTACAATGCCAAATAAAAAATCAGCAAAGTATGAAATATCATTATTTCATGCTTTTAGTTAGTTATAGTTATGCTGTAGTTAGTATAGTTATGTTAGTATAGTGTCATGCTATAGTTATATTTTATTAGTATCTATTATAATTGAAAGCTATTTTCCGGAATAAGTAAACTCATATTTTGTTTCGCTTTCTTAAATAAGAAGTTAAGTTCGTAAATTTTTAGTAATCGTCATGTAGTATTAATAATAACTGGGAAAATAATTCGGCAAGGAGGGGAGAGTTATTGCTAGATATTCCCTACATTAATGTTTTCCCTAATGGGATATAACTAAACAATAACCAAACAAGTCATTTAAAATAAATTTATGTTTCAAGAAGAAATTTATTTATTGAATAAAAAATATAATGTACTTTTTTTCATGATTTATATTTACAAATTGTACTATCCTACTTTGCTTCAAGGGCTTTTGACATAAGATAAAGTATATAATAATTCTCATATTTCATACTTTGCCAAGTTAATTAATTCTAAGTCGTTATTTCATAAATTGCCAATAATATATTGATATAAAACCGTATGTATGTCTGTTTCTCAATCCAGATCCACAATTCAAAAATATTTTTCATGATAATTTCCCTTTAAAACT